GGGGGCGTGGCGGGTCGGGGTGCTCGGGGCCGGCGGCCGCCTGTCGGCCGCCAGCCGACAGGCGGCAGGGGTGCGACCCTGGTGCTGCTTCGAGCCCCTCTTTTGTATGGAAGGGGCGAGGTGGGTGTGTGGAAGCTCAGGACCCACCGGAGGGCCGGCGCCGCAGGCACTGCCGCCGCCGCTTCCTGCCCCCGCCGGCCGCCCCTGCGCCCGCCGCCCCGACGGGCCGCGCCTGCCGCCGCCGCGCTGCTGCTTGATTGCGGAGCGCTCTTTAGGCACACTGTGGACAGCCGCGCGCCCGCCTGAAACCATTCGTGTCTTTGCTGATCCCGGGCTCTGCTGAAGGCGGGGGCGCCCTCTGCGTGTTGTTGCTTGGGCTCTGCTGCGCGTGTGTGTCTATGGCTGGACCGCTGGCGTCCTGCACGCCTTCTTGCGCGCGTGGCTGCAAAAATCTGCGCGCAGGCGCCGTTACAAAACCCCGATGGGATGCCTTCGATTGTTTCCATAAAGCCGCGCCGTGTTGTAGCGGCGTGGACACATGATCTCTGGCAGACAGACAGTCACATCTTCTTGCTACCGATGTAACGTCTCCACAGTGAGAATGGAATACGAATAGACTCCACTGAGTGGATCTGTGTCAGCCCATACAACAGCTCGTGCATATGAAACGGCGAACTGGCCGTTTGAGATACATGTCAAGGCAGGAGGGGCGGCAATGTGACACCACCCGCAAGCCGGCCCCCACGCCCACGCAGGCGAAGGCGCAGGTGCAGGCGGCCGCCTCGCGCCGCGACTCCCGCTGTCAGTCGGTCAATGCCCCAAAAAAACGCGGGGCCGCACGTTGTCGCGCTTGCGCAGGCGGCACGGGCCTGCCCCCCCCCCCCATTTTCCCTGCCTTATCAGTGAAACGCCCCATCACAGGAGGTTTGCGAGCCGCACGTTTTTGCTGGGCAGGCCGGCCTCGTTGCTGATGGCCTCCTGCAGCAGGGGGGCCAGCTTCTGGGTGCGCGCCAGGGCGAGGGCGAGGCGGTGGTCGTCATGGGCGTATGTTTTGATGACGACGTTGGGGTGGTGCTTCAGGAGGGCCGCCTGGGATATGTCGTGCTGCCAGGTGCCTGGGGTTTGATGGTGGGGTGGGTGGGGGTTTTATGTGTGAGACTCTGCGTGGGCGGATTGAAGTTGGTGTGTGGGCAAGTGGAATTTGAGTGTGCGCAAGTGTGTGTTTGTATGTGTGAGAGCGTGTGTGTGTGGGTGTATGCGTGTATGCATACGTGTCTGTGTGTGTATTTGGGTGTGAATATTTGCGTGTGTGAGTGTCAGAGCGTGTGTGTGTGTGTGTGTGTGTGTGTGAGAGAGAGAGAGAGAGAGAGAGAGAGAGAGAGAGAGAGAGAGAGAGTGCGCGCGCAGGTCACGGAATATACAGCCGTTGCTTTGTTAAAATCTGCAACGCAGCAGGCACAACCTAGCTCATTGGCGCAGGACGGCCGCACAACACAACACAACACAACTGCAGACGCATACGCACGTGTGCACACGCAAGCACACACGCGCGCGCGCGCACCTGTCAGTATGCGCACGCGCGCCTTGCTGGCGGCGACTGCATCCTGCAGGTTCTGCTGCAGCGCATCGAGCCACTCGTTGGGGCGCGAGGGGCGGATAGACGCCGTCCGCAGGTCGACCTGGGAGGGGGTTGGGGTTGCCGGGTTGCGGGGTCAGAGGTGGCGGCGGCGGCGTCGTTGCATGGCATCGCGCTTTCAAGACTGAATCATGGGAGGATGTATCATCAGGCGCCGCGCGGCTGGAGCACAGGTCAAAGCTCGTGCGATACAAGAAAGAAAGGGGCGCCGGCCGGCGCCGTCGGGGAAGCGGCGGCGGACCGCGGAGTTTGGCGTGCGTGTGCAGCCCTCGCGAGGGGGGAGCAAGGGGCCCTGCCGCGGCGGCAGGAGCGCCCGCGGCCGCCGCGGCGCTGGCGCCGCGGCACGTGGCCGCGGCCAGGGTGGAGCCACCAAGCGTGCATGCGTGAGCGACAGCCATCTGCTGCCGTTATATCGCGTTAGGCGGGGCCCGTGCCCCGCTGCCCTCTGCCGCCGATACTCTGTTTGGCGCGCGGGGCCTGTTTCAAGGTTCAGAATCAAGGGCCGCACCTGCGGGCTGAACGCGAGGACGGCCGTCGCCGCCCGGCAGAACAGCAGCGCCGCCGTCGCCCCCATGCTGTCCCCAACCATCACGACCCGGCTGTAGCCCGCGACTGCGGCCTCCAGGCGCGAGTGGTAGGTGGATTGGAAGGCGGCGGGGTCGCCGCCGCGGTACCAGTCCCGGAATGGATCCACGACGAAGAGCACGTCAAAGGCGCTGGGGGGAGAGGGGCGGTGGTGGGTTTCAAGGGTCAGGCGGTGGGGGGATGGGGTGGGTTGCGGCCGAGAAAAGGGGTGTGTGGGTAACGGAGGCGCGAGGCGGCGGGGGCGGCGGCGGGCCCTCGCCAGCGGTGAGCGGTAAGCTGGGGCGGGCCGTCGCGGCTGCATGTGCACCGCAGCCTGAAGGCCTGCGCGCGCCGCCGACGCGAGGCGCCCGCCGGGCGCCCCACGGAACAACAGGCCCCCTCCCCTGCCCCCGGCGGCGCCACCGGTACCCGTGCCGGCGCTGGCAGTCCGCAGGCGGCGCCGCGGCCGCGCGCACGGCCGCGCCCAAGCCCCCGCACCCACCCGCCATAGCCTTCCTCCTCCATAGCCGTAGCCACCTTCCGCAGGACACCCCCCCAATTCGCCAGCCCCGGCGCGCTCCCAAACGACACCACGAGCACCCTCTCGCCCGCCGCGGCCGCCTCTCCGCCGCCGCCGGCCGCCGCCGCCGGCCGCCGCTGCTGCCCACCGCGCTGGAGTTTGAAGTACCCCGGGCCCGACCCTTTGACCGCCCCGATCCGTATCATCCCCGGCCGCACAGTCAGCGCGGCGTCGAGCAGCGCCACGTCAGCGCCCTCCACCTGCGACTCGTCGAGGCCGACCGCCTTCAGCCCCGGCGGCAGCTTCCCGGCAGCTGCCAGCTCGACGGCGCGGCGCAGGAGCTCGTCGACCGTTTGGCGAGAGAGAGGGTTACCTTCTAGCCAAAGCTGCTGCAGGTTTTCAAGGTCGAGAAGGCCTTTGCTGCCGCCACCACTGCTGCTGCTGCCGCTGCTACCGTTGCTGCTGTTGCTACTGCTGCCGCCAATCGGGAGCGTTTCCAGTCTGTTGCCGTAGAGGTGCAGCTTCTGTAGCGCCTTGAAGCCCGACAGATCTGACGGCAGCCGCGCGATCTGGTTGTCGGCCAGCGACAGCTCGATAGCGGCCTTTTCAAATGTTCAAATCCCAAGGGGGCACGCCAGGCGGCGAGGCGCGGGCGAGCGCGTGAGTGAGGCGAGCCAGTGCAGGGCGGCGCGCGTTTTGGAGCCGCAGCTCGCGGGGGCCGAGGCGCCACGTGGCGGGCCGCCTGCGCGAGCGGCCGGCCCCGCGCACCCCCGACCCCCCGCCTGCGCCGCGCGCAACGGTGCTCTCCTGCCGCCTCTCCCTTCCTCCGTCCCGAAAAGCGCTCCCGTTCGTATCACCTAGCCTCAACCATGCTGCGCCGCCGCCGGCGGCCCCACACCCACCGGCAGACGCGCGAAGCCGTCAGGCACCCCCCTAAGGAAGTTGCCCTGAAGGTGCAGCTCCTGCAGCTTCCCGCAGCTCCCCCAGTCGCCCGGCAGCGCCGACAGGCGGTTGCCGTTGAGCGCGAGGCGCTTCAAATTCGGCAGGGCCGCCACAGAGGGGGGCAGGGATTCGATGAGGTTGCCTGAGAGTGCGAGGTCTTGGAGGGCCGAGAGGCGGCCCAGGGACTCGGGCAGCGCCGCGAGCCGGTTGCCTGGCGCAGGTTCCGGGAGGGAGGGGCGGCATGGAGGCGGGGCGGGGCCGCGTGGGGCTATGGGGCCGTGGTGGCCCTGCGGCGCGCGGCGGCGTGCGTCCGAGCCCGGCTCCGGTGCACCGGACCCGCTCGCCGTTGCAAGCAAGTCCTGTCTCAAGCGGGTACTGTTTCAAAGCGCACCCCATCCGCGGCCGCCCGCCCACGCCCCGCCCCGCGTCGCCGCCCACCCGCCAGGGAGAGGCTCTTCAGCGCCGTCAGCTGCCCGACAGCTTCCGGCAGCTCCCCTATCGCGTTGCCGTGCGCCCACAGGCCCTCCAGTGAGGTGAGGCCCCATAACTCAGACGGCAGATCCCTCAGGCCGTTCCCGGCCGCGACCAGCCGCCGCAGCTCCGAGAGCGCCCCCAGATCGCCTGGCAGCGATCCCAGATCGTTCCCGGCGACGCTTAGGTCATGCAGATCTGAGATCTCCCAGAGGCCCGCGGGGAGCGACCGCAGGCGCAGGTCTGACAGGTCGATGCGGCCGGTGCTGGAGGCGATGCTGAGTTTGACGTACATCTGCCGCTCGTCGATCAGAGGGCCGCCATCGCCGTCGTCGGGCGCGGCACGGGGGGCGCGGTGGCCCGGGCGCGGCGCGGGGGCGGGCGGGCGGGCGGCCGGGGTGCGGCGGCCGGGGTGCGGTGCGCTGCACTGTCGCCGGGGGCATCCAAACGCGCTGCTGTGCCGCATGGTGACCAGCGACGCCCGAAAATGTGATTTTTATCGTGCAAATCGCCAATGTATGCGCTTCTGCGCTCGTAAATGCGGCTGTTGCAAGCTGACAGCCGAACTTTTTACAGCACTTGCGGGGCACCCAAGTAAACCGAGCGGGAGGGCAGACTATAATTAAATAATTTGTCACGTGTTGTTCATTATTCAATGTGTGAAGGATGCACGCGATGACTCAGAAGATCATCCATGGTCAGATCGTCTCGCACCTTTGGCTTTCCAACATACACATGGTTAATCCTGAAAAAGCCGCGAGTCTCTTGTGATGCCAACACCCCCCCCCCTGAAACGGTACCTGTAGCCTTTGCTACCTACAAAGCGCTGACCCAGTCAATGCAATCAGCTGCAACAGGACACAGCTATCATGATGGACGTGACGCATGTAGACCTTGACGCCCACGTAACTCAACATGTGCATGCGGAAACAGGCCTTCAGTGTGCAGCCTCGCCCGATTGTTGTCGAGGCGTCGTAAAAGCCAGGCATTCCTCCAAGTCAACGCAGGTGCCCCCAAAACACGCAAGCATGGCCTTTTCAATGGGTGACTTTCAGCGCGCGCCGAGTGCACTCCCAGGGGGAAGGGTGCGGCGCACCAGCCTGCGAACGCAAGGCAGCGCGCTGCGCACACACGTTTGGTTTGTCTCCCGCGCCTTGATGCAGGAACTGCAAAGCCGACGATAACCCCATGCCCAGCCGGCCGGCCCCTGTCGGGAGCAGCGCCGTTTTCGCGCTTGAGCAATGCTGCCTCGCCCCTCGCCGCGCCTCAGAGCGCCCCAATTGCGCCTGGGCGCGGCGGCGGCGGCGGCGAGTAACCAGGCATGGGCGGCGCCCGCCGGCCGCCTGGCCCCTAAGCTCGTCGCATGTAAGCAGGGGAAGGGCGCCCCTGGTAGGCGCAATTGGCAGTGCGGAGACGGAGCGGCGCGCTCGCACGCGCACAAAGGACGGGGGCGCCGCGGGCTGTCCGCCTTGCGCCAGGCGAGCGGCAGGAAGGTGCATGTGTGCGTCGCAAGGGCGCTCCGCCTTTAAATTGGACCAGTGCGCCTGCCCTGCCCCGTGCGCGCCGCGGCGCGCACCGCGCCCCAAAAACACAAGTAAAGCACACGAGCAAGTGCACCGGCCAGCCCGCGCCGGCAGCGTTCAAGTGTTGATGACATCACACAGCAAGCTGCCTGGGCAGGCGCCATCCCTGGGCGGTTTCTACGAGCGGTCCCGTTGATATGAATCTCATGTGTCATGGCTGGAGGAGTGCTGGCTTCCTTCTGAATACCGCCCGGGAGAGCGGGAGAGAGCGGGCTGAGCTGGGCTGAGCCAGGGGGGTGTGGGGGCTGTCACAAAAGACAGGGTGTCCCGCGGCGCGTGGCGCGGCCAGCGGCCGGCCAGGCCGCAATCGCCGCCGCAATGTGGGTGTTGGAGGGGGGAGGGCCGCGGGCGCCCCTGGGCACAGCCTGGCGTGCGGAGGGGCGCGGCGCGGCGGCTCCCAGCAGACGCGGCGCAGCCGGAGCGCCGCTCCGCTTTAAAGGCAGGGTGTTGAGCTGGCTCGGCTGCAGGTGGCGGCCCGTCCGATGATGTTCAGAGTGAATTGAGTGAGCGTGCGTGCGTGTGTGCGCTGGGGCAGCACCCGCGTCCGGCAAGCGGCAGCGAAGTCTCGGCACCCAGCCGAATTTGGGCGCAAGAAAGTGGAGAAGACAAAAGGTGCGGGCCGCACGCTGGTTGTTATGCCGGGTCGCGGAGTTGGCGCGCCCGTTTGTGCTGCCCGGGCACGAGTCTTGAGGGGGGGGCCGCGCCTTTGGGGCATCCCGCGGACAGCGGCGTCGGGGAGGAGGGTCATGGGGAGGGCGCGAGACGAGCCAACGCCAGCAGTGGCACGCGCGTTCAGTCGCAGGCTGGGGAAATGCACCCGCAGGTGGCACGAAGACGGAGGCAGCGTGGCGGCGCGCGCAACAGGCGCTCGCGTGCGCGGCCGCCCGGCGCGCCGAGGTTGGCGCGCCGGCGGCCGCGCGAGGGGGTGGGCTTGTTTTGCATGGCGCCGGGGCCGCGGAGGGCTTGCAGAAGTGCACGACACGAGGCGCGTAGGAAGGCGCCGCGACGAGGCGAGGGGGCGCGCGGCGCGGCGGCCGTGCCGCCGGTCGGCGGCCGTGCTGCGTGGCGGGCTAATAAGAGCCGCTGCGCCCGGCCGCGGCGCCCGCGGCCCCGCCGTCGGCGTGCCCGGCGAGGGCTTGATCAGGAGGCTAAGGGGCCCGAGGGTCAGGAGGGGTGCAGGGAGCAGGGAGCGGAAGCAAGCGGCTGCCGGCTGTTATGACCGGCACACGTGGGGGGCGGGCGACACGGACGCGCCTGCTCAAACCAGCGGCGCGCGCCCTCTGCGCTTGCGGGTGCGTGTTGGCTGTGGTCGTGCAGAGGGGCCTGGCGTTTGGACGGGCACTAAAAGTAATAAGCAGGGCTGGGGTCGCCCAGGCCTGGTGGATCTAAGTTCACCACTTGCGTTTCCCCCATATGAAGCCCCTGCAGCAGCTCCTGCTGCTGCTGCCGCTGCTGCTGCTGCTGTTGCTGCTGCTGCTGCCAGAGTTGCTGCTGTCCCGCCGCCTGCGGCATTCCGGCTGCATAGGCGGTGGTGTAGCCGCCGGCCCCAGTGCCTTGGGGGTACTGGAGCACTTGATACACCACCCCCTGCCCTTGGCCGGCGCCCAGCAGCGCCTGCTGCTGCTGCTGCTGCAGCGTCGCATGCTGATGGTGATGCTGCGCGCGTGCCTGCCCATACTGCGCGCCGGCAGCCGCGGGTACATAGGCTCCCAGCACATCCAGCGCCTGGCCACCCTGAGCTATGGCGCCATACGACACGGCCTGCTGCTGCTGCTGCTGCTGCTGCTGCTGCTGCTGCTGGGGGTGGTGCTGCTGCTGAACGTAGCTGCCATACTGCACCGCCGCGCCCGCGGCGCTCTGCTGCTGCGCCAGCTGGTATTGGGCGCCCACCCCCACCCCCGCCCCGGCGGCCGCGGCGCCAGCCGACGCGGCTTGGTATACGCCGCCGGCCCCCATGCCGCCGCCGACGGCGACGGCGGCGGCGCCTGCGGCGCCGGCCTGCTGCATTTGCTGGAGCTGCAGAATCGTGCTGGACGCGTCAAAGCCCACGCCGGCGAGCCCTGCTGCTGACGCGTACTGCTGCTGCTGCTGCTGCTGCTGCTGCTGCTGCTGCTGCTGCTGCTGCTGCTGCTGGGCGTATTGAAGGGCGACGTATTGCTGCTGCTGGGGGTGCTGCTGCTGGTGAGGTTGCCGCTGCTGCTGCTGCTGCATCTGCATAACAATCCCTGCAACGCTCCCATCTGTGCCGTAGGCACCGCTGCCGCCGCCGCCGCCAGACGGGTGCACTGGTTGCACATACTGCAACTGCCCGCTTGCGCTGCGCACAGCGACGGTTTGTGAGTACTGCTGCTGCTGCTGCTGCTGCTGCACGGGTAGCAGCTGCTGCTGCACGCGGCGTGGAGCCGGCCCCAAACCGGCAGATGCCTGGTTGTGCTGCTGCAGCTGCTGCTGACGGCGCGAGGCATACGCGGCCGCATGCTGCTGCTGCTGTTGCTGCTGCAGCAGCAAATGCTGCTGCTGCTGCTGCAGCAGATGCTGCTGCTGCGGGTACAGCGCCGGGTGCGCCTGCTGCTGAAACAGGTACTGCTGCGCCGCCGCCTGCCGCACGCCCGCGCCCGCGCTCGGCGCGCCGCCGCTGCTGTAGCTCGCATAAGATGAGCCAC